CAGCTGCGCGCGCAGCGCCGTGGCGGCGGCGTCGCCCTCGCCCAGCACGCCCAGGGCGGCGGCCGCGTCGCGCGGCCGCCCCTCCGCCGCCGCCAGCGACGCCTGAAGCAGGGGCATCGCGCGCGGCACGGCGCCCGCGCCGGCACTGGAGCCCAGCGTGCGCAGCAGCTCGCGTGCGACGTCCAGCCGCGTCGCGCCGACTGCAACCGAGGCGGCGCAGGCCAGGACCGCGGCGCGCTGCGCGGGGCTGAGCCGGCCCTCCACCGACGCGCGCAGGCGCAGGAAGCCGCCCACACGCTCCAGCGCCGCCGACTCCAGCCGGCGCAGCGCCTCGCCCGCGCCGCGGCGCTCGCCCTTCAGCAGAGCCAGGCCCGCCAGGTTGCAGGCCACCACTGCCTCGGTGGCGGCGTCGCCGGGACAGCAGGCCATGGTTTGGTGGTACAGGGCCTCCGCCTCGCCCGCCGCGCCCCGCCTGTTTTTAATATTGAGGGGGGGATGGGGGGTGGTAGGGTTGCGGTGAGTTTATGCTGGGAGGGTGGAGGCGAGGGGATGTGGTTCTGAGGGGTCCTGGCGCAAATGAATGCAGACGAGAGCGCCCGCCGACAAAGCTGGCGTCCTCCTGGAACTCTCCAGAACCCCCCACCCCCCAAGCACCACTCTGCACGCTCCCCCCCTTTCCTCCACCTCACCGATGCGCCACGTAGGCCAGCTGGGCGGTGATGGGGACCAGCTCCTTGGCCAGCTCCTCCTCCTCCAGCCCTTCCTCGATCAGGGTTTCTTCCCCGACACGCTGCGCCAGCAGCAGGCGCTCCTGCGCGGCCTCCAGCTCCCCGGTTTCCAGCAGCGCACAGGCCGAATTGAAGGCCACCTCGAAGCTGTCCTTGGGGGACGCCTGACGGTGAAGGGGGGAAAGGAGTTAGGTGATCGGGGGGGGATCTGCAAGAAATTGACTCTTCGCACATTTGTGAGGGGGCGGATGGGTAGGGAAGGAGGAGCTAGTATAATAAGGCGGGGCCAGTGCTGTGTGATGAACAGTATGACAGAACACCTAGGGAATGCAGATCCCAGACCCGGCACAGCAAGGACTTGGCACAGAGTGAGGCTGATACTGCAGGATGGCTCCCGACTCGCACCTTCATAGCCTCGAGCACGGCAGGGACCTCCGCGGCCTGGCCGCCCGCCACATAGGCGGCCAGCACATTGGTCTGCACCTCCATGGTCTCTGCCTTGTACTGCTGGAACAGCTGGCGGTAGATGGCGATCGCCTCGGGGTACTGCCCCAGGCGGTACCGCAGCTGGGCCTCTAGCTGGAGCTTGGCCTCCTGGAAGGCAGTGAGGGAGGGAGGGACAGAGGTCATCGCAGAGGCGGCCACTGGGTCTAGTAACAACACCCTACCAGCCACCCACAGACTCACCCCATGGGGCCGATGTGGCAAGTAACCCCCAGGCCCAGCGCATGGCTAGTGGGGTAGGGAGGCCTGATTGCGTCTGCATGCACACCCCCCGCTCACCTGGCGGTCCTTAGACACCATCTGGAGCGTGACGAGGGCGTCCTCAAGCTTCCCCTCCCTGTACTGGCAGTAGGCGCGCTCAAAGGCTAGCTCCTTGTCCAGCCCATGCGCGCTGATTGCAGCCAGCGCGTCGGCAAATCGATTCAGCTCCAGCAGGAGGACCACCTTGCAGCGGCGCACGTCCTCATCGCTGGGGTCCACATTAAGCACTGCAGGGTAGTGGAGGAGATGATGGGGCTGGGTGCGGGTTGGAAGCGGAGGCTGTGCACCAGGTGCCACCACCATCACCCAGGCACCCTCGACAGCCGTGATCAGCCTACCTTCCTCGGCGGTTTTCAAAGCTTTCTTGTGCCTTCCGCTCTTCAGATGAGTATCCAGACGGTTGATCAGGACACTCATCTGACTGCTGGGCTGAGACTCCGGCATCCGCAGTGGAGCGCGATGGCGCCGGTGCCCAGTGCCTGCTGTGCGGGCCTCTGAAAGGTCAGAGGTGCGGCTCACTGACAGAATGACAGCATCTGTGATTCATCTGAGCTGGCATTGCATGTTCGTTGGGGACATGCGCTCTGCTGCGGGACCGCATTCCTCAGATCAGAGCAGGCAAGTGGCGGGAGCTCCCGAGGCCCCGTCCCGACATATAGCCTGTGTGGGACTATTCTGGACTCCAACGCCAAGCATTAGTGCTTCTCATGGACCTCGGGTAAAAAGATTAGCCGCACTCGTCATTACTGCTTCCTGTACTACTCATGCTTGCAGTTTTGTAGGTGGAGTGGGAACGAACTTGCTCGGAGCCCGCAGCATTGGACGGGGAGCACTCATCCCTCAGCCTGCCGGGCGAAAAGCCCACATCGAGCATGTATGCTTGCTTGAGGACACCCTGATACCGGATACGACGGGGACCAATGTCTAGGGCGGCCCAACTCTGTCACACGATGGCCTAGTTTGCTGTACCATCCCAGGGCCTGCTGAGCTTGCTGCTGTCCCCATGGTAGGGATCCAGATCAGCATTCACCATGGGAGAGCTGGGGTGATTCGTGAGATGGATGAGCTTCCTGGGCAGGACCACCAGTCAGGTCCCCCTCCAATGGCTCGGCGTCGTCTCCCCCTCACAGGATCCACCCCCGCCGCCGCCGCCGCCGCCCTACCCCGACACGACAGCGGGAGCGGCCCCTTCCCCCGCCCCTCCGGCCCCTGCCCATGCTCCTGGGTACGTTCAAGATGGGTATGCAGCGCAGCAGCAGTACCACCAGTACCATGGGACCTGGGGACGGGAGCCTGGACCTGCGTACCCCGGGCACCCCCCGCATGCGTATGGGCACTACCCGGGCCACCAGCACCCCGGGTACCACTACCAACAGCCACATTACCACGGCCCAGACCCGGCATACGGGTGAGTGACCTGGCCGCTGGCACAGTGGAGGGGGTGAAGGGGTTGCATGATGTCACACTGTCTGCCACACCCCCTAGGCATGCATGGAGCACTCCGTCACAGAGCCTGCTTACCATGGCCCCATGCGTCCACCCCTCGTAATCACGGACCCCGCCCTCCGAACTCCCCCTCCCGCCAGGCACGGCGCGCCCAGGCCTAGCTACCAGGCCGCCGCGTCTGTGTATGCCCCGCCGCCGTCGGTCCCCGCGGCCCTCCCCGGGCCCCCGCAGCCTCCGTCCCAGCCCCCTCACCCCCCACACCCCCCAGAGTCGTACAACGCAGTGCCCCCTCCCCCCACGCTGGCGCCGCAGCGGAGCATCCCCCCCGCCCGCCCGGCGTGGCAGCCCCCGGCCGCCCCGGCGGCTGGGCCCCGCCCCGCCCCGCAAGAGTCCGCCGCCACGGCATCGCTGGTGAGCGCGGCCCAGTCTGCGGCCGCCGCCATCGCCGCCGCGCACCCAGGTAAGTCTGCGGGGGCCGGGTGGGGCGCCCCGGGCCCCGCCCCGGCGCAGCCACCGGCCGGCGGGCGCGGCCCGCCGGCCTCCGTCCGCCCCGCTTTCCTGCGTGTGAACGTGACGCGGCGGCCCGCCGCGGGCGCGGCCCCGGCCCCGGGCCAGGGCGCCTGGCCCCCCTCCCTCAAGGCCTACGTGGAGCGCGCCTTCACCGCCACCCCGGCCAAGGCCCGGCCCCGGCTCCAGCTGGCCCTGAAGAGCATCATCGCGGAAGCCCAGGCGCAGGGTGCGGCGAGGAGACGGGGGAGGGGGGGGGCGGGGGCTGATAGGATATCCATGTGAGCGTGACGTGAAGCGGTGGTGGGCTGTGGATCCGCGCTCGGCCCCGGCCGGACCCCAGTTTCCTCAGATTCCCCACCCTTGCCCCCAACAGGTGAGCTCTGGAGGCGGGACTGGGACACCCTGCCCCTCCCCGACATGCAGCACAGCGCCGAGGATGCCGCGGTCCTGGTCAGAGAGACGGCGGCCTTCGCCCCCCAGTCTACTGACGGCGCCTCGAGCCACGCTGCGCCTGCTGCGGCAGCGCTGCGCTCGGCGGCCGGGGACAGCCGGGTTGCGGGGACTTTTGCTGCGCCCTGGCTGCCGCCTGCCAACCCTCCCGGCGCGGGCCAGGCGGCGAGCCCGGCGGCGCAGGGGATGAAGAGGGGCCTGCCCTGGCAGACCGGCGAGCAGGCCGGAGCGGGCGCCCCGCCCCCCAGCCCGGCCGTGTTTGGCCTCGCGGCCGGGGGCAGGCCGAAAAAGGGGCGGAAAGCGGCCGCGCGGTCGCCGGCCAAGCTGTGCACGGAGAGCGAGGAGAGCGGGGCGGAGGGCAGGGGCCCGTGGCGTAGGAAGGCCGGGCGCCGCGCCGCGGTCCCCGGCGGTGAGGAAGAGGTCCGGGCGCGCGCCCGGGCCGGGCGGTTTGGGTCGGGGGCGGCCGACGGCGTGGCCAGTCGGTGAGTTTTTTATTTTTAGGATTGGGTCGACGGTGGGGCACGGGTCCGTACTGCAATGCATGTGAGGGGGGGTACCCCCACGCCACAGACCTCCCTCCGCCAGGCCAGTGTGCAGCATGGCGACGCCTGCGCTCCACGGCACCCTGTGCGCCTTCCTTTCCCGAACGCGCAGGCCAAACGTGGGTCACGAGCGGCGCCAGCGTTTCCTGGCCTCCCTGGACCGCGCCAACACCCAGGAGGAGCTGGACTGGGACGCCTTTGCCGTCAAGGTGCGGAGAGGAAGCAGTGCGTGGGTTGGATGGCGAGGAAGGGGGCGCTGGATGCGCTGCGCATCGCCCATGCCGCGGCCATGGCACCCAGCCCCCCCGTCGACACTCTCTTTCAACACACACACGCACACTCCAACAGGGCACCTGCACGCGGCTGGAGAAGAGCTACTTCCGGCTCACCTCCGCGCCGGACCCGGCCACGGTGCGCTCGGAGCCGGTGCTCCGTGCAGCCCTGGACCAGCTGGTCGCCCGCATCGCGTCGGGTCAGGCCGCCTACTTCTACGCGCTGGACCAGTTCAAGGGCCTGCGCCAGGACTGCACCGTGCAGCACCTGCGCAACGGCCTGGCGCGGCAGGTGTACGAGGCACACGCCCGCGCCGCGCTGGAGTACGGCGACGTGGCCGAGTACAACCAGTGCCAGGGCCAGCTGGCGATGCTGGACGCGGCGGATGCTGCTGCGGCGTCGGGGGGGGGGCGGAGGAGGGGGGGCGGCGAGACCAAAGGGCACGGGCGCGGCCGCGCCGGCGCGTGCCGACGGGACCGCCACCCCGATCCCGACCCCCGCCCACCGCCCCGAGTTCCTGGCCTACCGCATCCTGTACCAGGCGGTGCATGCGCGGCACGGCGAGGGCCTGGCCCTGCTGCGCACGCTGGGCACGCTGCGGCCCGAGGACGCCGCCGCGCCGGCGGTGCGCCACGCGCTCGCCGCGCGCGCGGCGCTGGCGGCCGGGGACGCGCCGCGCTTTGCCGCGCTGCGCGCGCGCGCGCCCGGCCTGGGCGCCGCGCTGATGGACCTGGCGGTGCCGGGCCTGCGCTACGACGCGCTGTGCGCGGCCTGCAAGGCCTTCAAGCCGGGCGTGGCCGGGCGCGACCTGGCACGCATGCTGGGCTTTGTGCGGCGGCCGGAGATGGGCGAGGGGGCTGGGGGTGAGGGGGGGGGTGGTGCGGAGCCCCAAAGCGACCCGCTGCCGGGCTGCTCGGCGGCGAGATACGTCGGCGAGCACGAGGCTCAGGTGGGGATTGGATGGCATGCCCGGGGAGTGGGGAGAGGAGGGGTGGAGGGATACTGTGTCACTGGACTCTGGAGGCTTTCGTGAATGCGTGTGGCACCTGAGACGTGCTCGGTGAAGGCCCCTCCTGGAATGCTGGGTGAGTGTCCCCGCGTCTCTGCCAATCACAACCTCACCTCCTCGTTACACCTCCCCCCTTCAGGACGAGGAACGCGGGCTCGCCAGCTGCCTGGCATGGCTGGAGGAGTGTGGGGCGGTGACGGGCGTGGACGTGGAAGGGGCCGTCTTCCTCGACTGCAAGGCCAGCTCCGGGCGTCTGGCACGCCCGGCCGACAAGGAGGCCGTGGCGCACGGCGATGCCAACCTGGACATTGGGGATTTCATGAAGGGCATGGGCATGTAGGGGGTGTCGGTGGGGCAGGGGAGTGGTGTTGGGTGAGTAGAACACCGGGTCTGGGCTGTGCACCGGGGTTCAGGCGATGCAGCGCCGGGTGCATGCCTTACAAATATGGCCTCTGCTGATGACCCATACATGTCTGACAGCCCGCCCAGAGGGTCAGTGTTGGGTTGTTACAAGCTCTATGAACACAGTAGAGGGTACAGGCAAGGGGGTGACGACGAAGTGAGGGGGCCTGGTGCATACCCCCAACGCCACGATGCCATCAATTCAAAGAACTCAAGGCCAGCTCGTCCCAGCCCTGCGGCTCCGGCGGTACGCCGGCCTCACCGAGCTCGCTCGAGTCCGACAGGTCCTTCAGGCCCGCAGGCAGCTCGATGTCTGCGATTCAGGGCAGTGCCAGGCTGGTTTCGCGTAGCCCAGATCACTCCAGACCACAACAGACTCTAATACATTCTATGACAAGAGCATCTCAATACAAGGACCCTACCATCATCCGGGAGGGTTTCTGCTGCCCACTCATCGTCCACAATGTCCAGGAGACGGGGCTCCCGCACCAGTGCATAGTTGAGGGTGGAGCTCATTAGAGCAGCCGTCACGAAGAGATCCCAAGCCTCCTGGTCTATGTTTTACGCGTCATCTCGATGCGAAGACGGTTGCATTCTGACCGTCAGACACCTTTGTTGCGCCATGGCGCGCCCCTGTGTCCCGGGATCTGCTACCTGCCCCACACTCTCAGGAACTGCCGTCCGCGCCAAATTAGACGCCCCCAAACACCCTCCCCTCTTGTCTCTACCCCGGCCTCTAATTATACGTATGTTACTCCACAGGGTTCAGCAGCTCATTATTGCCGTCTGCGCCCAAGCCATAGAGCACGTTCTCATGCTTTTGCGTCCCCGCCAAGCCCTTGAAGTGCTTCTCCGCCAGCCTCATGAAGGTGGCGCTGGTCAGCAGCGAGTCCGACCCGGCCTGGTGCTGGGGCCCGATCCGTGCGACGTCCAGGGTCTCTGCAAGCTTGTTCAGTCCGCCATGGAGGTTGTCACAGAACTTCATGAGGTACTTGATATCATACACGCTGGGAAAGAAGATCTGTGGGCCGGGGGGAGGGGGAGGCTCTGGAGGTGGGAGGTGGAGGAGGACCTCGGTGATGGGAGGGCAAGCAGGGTCACAAATCCTCCAGCAAAGCACATCCCACTGAAGCAAGGCCAGCAGGCTCTGTGCTGCACCATGCAGCAGCGGACACAGTACCGAGGTGCCTGCACCCCACACGACCACACAACCCACCTTGAGCAATTCAAAGAAGTCGGACTCGGTGTTGGGCAGCGGGGCACATGTCACAGTCCGGAGAAGGTACCCGAAGTCATAGCTGGAGTGGAAGGTGAGCCACCGCACGTCCTCGTTCAAGACCACGCCAGACACCATCAGCAGCGCGCCAAAGTCGTGAATGTCGATCCCGCGTGCCTCGTTCTGTGCGAAGTCGATGCCAGACTGCTTCAAAAGCTCGATGCTGTCCTGGGCGTATATGTCGTCATTGAGCCGGAATTCCCTGTGCAGGGGGTGGGAGCAGGTTTGAGGTGTCGAGACTGAGGCTAGGCTGGGCTCGGCAAGCCCTCATTGAGGGCACCTACGCCTCTTCATTGAGCAGCTCAGCCAGTGTGCACACACTGGATGGGCTGCTCAGGGTTTTCGGAGCCCCATTCTCCTCCAAGAGGCAAAATGGAGCCCCTCAGGAGTGAAGCTGCTCATGCCGGCGGCGGACTGACGGGTGGCATGTAGCCTTCGCGGCCCACAAGGGACACCAGGTGTGACCCACCCCTTGGACACCAATCCCTCCTCTTGACACAGGCTGCCTGGACCATCACCTGAAGTTGAATTGCCACACACACAGCTCATTGTTGATCCGCGGAAGATTGCCGAGGTGGTCAGAGAAAGTCAGCCCCAGCTGGATCATCTTCAGCATGTTAACATTGAGTCTGTGAGACAGCAAGGAGGGGTGAGGCTGGCTATCATCCTTCAGACCAGCAGAATGGAGGATTACACCCACAGAGCAGGGACTTGGTGTTCCCCTGCGGTCAGCGCAAGCAGGGCCAAGCTGCGCCCCTGCCCCTGTCTCCCCCCGTCTCCACACACACACACCCCTCCAACAAAACACGTTCAGCTGCATTCTCCAGACCATATCGAAGAGTATGCGTCCCGCTTCATGGGGCCACACACCTGAGCATCTGGTAATGAAACTCCCTGCTCTTCTTAAAGTTCCCAACCGGCTTGGCAACCACACCGGGGAACTCCGTGTCCATGGCGAGGTATGGGAAATCGGAGATCAGCTCCCGTATGAGCTGGGAGCGAATGGCGCAGGGGAAGGGGGGGTTCTGCTTGGAACACCGGATCCCATCGTCTCGGGGCAGGTACGAGGCACGCCGATACCGTCCACCCTCACCTGCATCTCCTCCTCCAGGTTGTGTTGCCACACTTCCCTCACTCTCAGAGTATCACCATCGGGGGTTTTGCCCGTGAGCGAGCCGTCTGCTGCTGCCGTTTGAGTCTGCACCACCATGAACTCAGGCCTGATCCTGCTGGCATACCCGGGGAGTCAACCACACGAGGAAGGGAGACTAGGGTTTCCAATACCCTTTGATCTCTCACAAGATGGCCCAGGATGGCCCAAAGCCCGCCCGAGGGGTGCCCGCGCGAGACAACGAGCAGGCGGAGGTGGGGTACTGGGGAGACCAGGACTGATGGATGTTCTGGCTTCAGAAGGCTTGCACAGGCTGCTCATGAATGCCGTATCTGTGTCGGGCGTTGGGGCTGGGAGGGGCCCTCACCTGAACGGGGACAGACCTGAGGACGCTGCTGTGTGTGGCGGGAGGGATGGAAGGAAAGCCCTCTCGGAAATGCGTGCCGAGCGTGGTGTCGCTTGGCTCCCTTCTCACTGCTGGCACCCATGGGGGATCCGACCTTCACCTTGTACCCTATGTCTACATACAATGCAAATCGACAGTCTTTCGAGCAAAAGGTATACATGGAGCACCTAGCACACATTGACAGGTCCTGGAAACATTTGCTAACAGATACTGAGTGAAGTGGTTGAGTACAACGTCTCTCCAGACCACAACCCATCAGGCCTCGCTACTGCCTATCACCGCTGTCGTCTTTGGCTGCACCTTCCCGTGCGCCTTGCGGGCCTCCCTCACGGTCACCTCGACCCGAGCGATGTACTTCTCAATGTCAAACTTGCGCTTGCAGCCGTTGTAGTTCATGTACCGGATCTTCCCGAACACAGCACGCTCAGTCCAGCCCTGCAGCGGATCAATTATTTTTACGTTTGTGTGTCAATGGCGAGTGCTGGGTCCAGGTAGCGCTTCCAAGGGGGGGGGGGGGATCCTATAACCACCAACTGGACACGGTCCCCTCTGATCCCCTACCCTCACCTGGTCATGGATGCCGTAGATCGCCCACATGCAGCCTACCACGCCGTTTGGGTCACGTCCATCGATCTCGTACTTGTCATTCAGGTACAGGGCCAGCTTGAGGGCTTCTTCAGCTGAGTTGGACCACTGTGGGTGGGTAGGGGTGGGTGTGACAGTCGCAGCATTCCCAGAGAGTGGGGGGTGTGCACTGCAGAGTACAGCTTGCATCCAATGCATTCAAAGTACCCTGGCATCGTTTGGTGGTGAGGAAGAGGCATGGCCTCTGCCGGCCCGCAAAGGCAAATCAGGCTGACACACGCCCAGGGTCCTCTTCCACCCCATCCCTCAGTCACCTCCAGGATTTTCTTCGCCCAGTACATGCGCATGAAGCCATGCATTTTGCCGCCATATATGAGCTCCAACTACTCCGGGATGGGGGGAAGGAGTGCATGAGAGGCGGCAAGGGAGGCGCACAAGTAGCGATACCACCGAGGGAATGCAAGTATGGGACAGGCACGGACTGGTCTGCACACAGATTCTGCACCCCACAGGCTGTGGCATGGTCCCCTAACGATCTCCCACCTGAGATGCATTCCAGAGCTTGTCGTGCGTCTTACCCTTCTCCCACTCCTCCCTGCATGATATGGCGATTGGGACTTGGTGGACAAAGACCCTGCACCGCTATGAGAATGGGGATGGCAAGGCATACTGGCACCTGTCCCTCACAAGACATTCCTCTATACCTATTCACCAGACACCGACAGCCAGAGTCATTGTATCCCACCACGACACTCACTCGGTGTACGTGAACTCCCGCTTGTCCTTCTGATGGAGCTTCAGGGACTCCAGGGCCCAATTTGCAGCTGCCTTGTGGTTATCATACTCGGGCTCATAATGGCAGAAGTTGTCTGCATGGGATGAGGGTCAGCCTAACGGCACTGATTTCCTCAATGTACACGGTCCCATGCCATACAGACACAGGCCAAGGATTGGCAGCATCTTCCCAGGCCACAGCTACAGTCCTCAATCTTATTCCAACACACGATCCACCACCCACCGGCTAGCTCCCGCCGTATGATGAGTTCCTCAAGGAAGCAATCCACGGACTCCTGCACTTCAGGCCAGGAGTTGAGGTGCTTGGAGAAATTATAGAGGAGGTGCTTGGACCTGCTGTCGCACCCCAAAACACACACAGCTCCCAGCTCCCAGTGCATCTCATCTCAGAAACCCGCCAACTCAGACGGCAGAGTCCCTTAAACAGTCCCACCCAAATCAGGTCCCCAACCCACAGCACCTTCTGCCCCACCTTGTGCTTGCCGCGATGCTTCCTGGCTTCCAGGGCAGCCCGTTGCGCCGACAGCTGCCCGAAATGAATAAACGGCGATAGGCCCGAGAGGGCCTCTGTGGCAGAAGGCAGAGGTGGGGTAGGCTCCAGCACCTAAAGCCCTGCTGTGTCTTGCAGACATCCATGACTCCCAACAGTCTTGAGATCAGCACCAGGTCGCACCTGGAATGGCTGGGTCGTTCCTGAATGACTTGTACTTCTTAAGCCGCTGATCCGTGAGGAAGCCCCCTTTTCCACACAATGCCTGTGTGGACCAAGGATTGACACACATGATGAGGATGTGGGGGCTTGTTGCACAACGCATGTAAATCACCGACTTGCGACGCTGCACAGCAGTCCTCCTGTGACCCACAGACATTCATTGGGGTCCAGTCCTTGCCGCCCTCCCTCTGACCCTCCATTAACATCTCACCAAGCACCTGCCATGCTGCATCCTCTCCAGGTGTACACCAGGTGATTTCGGGGACTGCGCGCCCCCTCTCCACCACCTCCTCAAGGATCCCATCCCAGTCCACCCGTGGGGGCGGCATGCCGGTCCAGCCGACGGTCTGTGCTCGGAGCTCGGGGTACTCCACCAGGAACTCGGGCAGCAGGCGAGTGATCTTGGGCCTGATGGTCCGGGCCGCGCTTTCCCTCTTGTCTGCGGTGAATAGATTGTGGGTGCGCGACTGGACCAGCTAGCTTCCCGAGCACCTCTCACACATGACTCCATGTCATCTTTCTTGATTCAAAAATACAGCACGCCCATTCTGATTCCATCCTTCTGACTCCTCCACCCCCCTTGCTACCTGAGGCAATCCAGACGGGGACGACATTATGTGCATCGACCTCATAGAACGGGATGCTGATCTTCTCTACCACCTGCAAATGAGGAAGCGGTGAGTGCATGGGTACACTTGATGTAGGTAGCTGAATGTGACAAGTGGACAGCACGCCGCACAACTTGGAAGGGTAGCGCTGTTGGAAAGCTACGGTCTTGCACAAACCCCGCACCGCTTGCAAGCCAGTACCCTGCCCAGCCGCCTCTCAGCACTGCCAACTCAGCACCGACAAGTGTCCCCCTGCGCATGCTCACCCCAGCACGCCACTGCCGGCCCAGACGGAGAGGCCCAAAGTCAGTGATCAGGGCTCCGGCCCCCGCGTCCCTCACGATCCTGGGGATGTTCTCGACAGGGTCCCCTGGGAAGCGTAGGGAGGCGCCTCAGCCCCAGCATGTGCATCCTCGGGAGATGGAATCTGTGCTACAACAGATGCCTGACGCAGCCTCCCCATGCCCTGCCATCCCCCGCCCCCCCAAGTATCCGGCTCAAGCAGGCCTGCAACCACAGCACCCTGATCTGCACCTTTGAGGAGGAAGAAGGGTATGTGGAGCTTGCCCAGGCTCTGTTCCAGGTGCTGCAGACCCCGGACCATGAAGCCAAACTGACGTGCGCCGGCGTGCATGTATGCCGTTACCTGTGAGAAAGCATGGCATGCGACTGCGTGTGTGATCATGTATCAAGAGGTGCATGGGTGGTAGGGTCACGTCTATGGAGCACAAAGAAGGGCCTCCTTCGTGCACGGTTGCAACTCTTGGCCAAGCAGCTTAACTTGATGCCCATTCAATGACCTGCATCATGACAATCAACAACTTCCAGCCACTCGGCACTGGCCCAACTCCCATCACCACTGAGGCCCAGGCAACCCCATCCACCAATAATATCTGGCACCCACCAGATTGAACACAACAGCCACTGGCACTCCCTTCTTGGCGGCCAGGTCCACCGCATGCAAGAGAGCCCAGTTATCCTTGGATCGTTGGTCCCGAGTCATCCTGGGAGAGGGTCATGGGGATGGGAGTGAGCCATTGCCTGCCCATGCGCCCTGCAGGTCATTGTTGCACATACAGGGAGCTCGCAACTGCATGCCCCACTCCGCATCACCAGTAGAGCACAGGTCCTGGTCCCTGCTCTCCAGATCGCAGCTCCCTGACTCGGCGAGGGTCGACAGATGATTGCATGGCGCGGCCAGTGCCGGCACTTGCAGGACCCGCAGCCTCCACCTGTGCAGGCTCTGGCGCCTTTCTCTTCACTTGCATGCCCCCTGGATTTTGGTGATCCGAGGAAGCCCTTGGGTGTTCGGCCGATGAAGCGAGGCGTGTGGTATGCCCAGTGGCCTTGGACAGGAATTGCCTGGGGATCACACAGTGAAGCCAAGCAACTCTAGCCACAGAAGCAGGGAGAATCGCCAGCGAATGCGATCTGAGTACTGCACGGGTATCCAATGCCACCAAAAGCTACGTTGATTGAAGGGAGATGTTCTGTATTTGGATCTAAGGGCTACATTATTTCGATCAAGGCTGTCCTGTGGCATGTCGGGGCCCAGCGCTCTCGACGGGGACAGCATGCTTCGACCCCGGAGCTTGCATCCGTGCGAGCTTCGCGATTTCCTCGCGCTACCCCCGCGCTCCGAGTCAGCATTCCCCGGAACCGGCCAAGGTTCGATGTCAGTTAGTACAAACATTTCTGCACCAGCCGCCGCACCCTGGAACGGACGCACCCAGCGGCTCGTGACCTGACAAAGAGCGATTGAGGTTCGGGAACTTTCCCTCGAGCGTTTGGCGCCTCTGGCATACACGGCCAGCGGTCGTTCGATGGGAGGGGTCTCCTTCTGATTCAGTCGAGTATCTCGCCTCGTGAGTCAGACTACATTTCTAATATTGCGCTCCAACGGGGCATGGAGAGGACCATGAGCATCACCTCAGATGAGCTGCTCCAGAACTTTTTCAAGACGGGAAGCACCGTCAGTCTGCCCCGCATTGACTCCGAGTCGCAGGTGCCCTGTCTTTGCGCGTCATGGGCATGTGCACCTGGGGTCGAGGGGGGTGGCATGGACTTGGGGGGAGGAGGGAAGGTGTAAGCCATGAGAGGGGAGGCCACAGAGCACGCTTGGCCAAGCAACACACTGGAGGTGTCGTGGGGCCCCTCCTGCTCACCATACCCCTCCTTCCCCCACCCTCCCTAGTTTCAAGAGTTCATGCGGAAGATACCGTCGGCCACCAACCTTGCTGCGGCGATGACCGAGGGCACAGAGGCCGGAGGCGGGGAGCAGACCGCACCAGCCGGGGGAGTTCCTCGTGTGCCCAGCCTGGACTTTATCAAGTAGGCCGGTGGGGGGATTGGATTTGGGCAGGGACGACATCGGTTGGTTCCCGAGCGGCGTGCAGGGCTTGAGGATGCAAGTCCTGGCCTGTATGGCCTTGCTAGTCAGTACATCGTGGGCCGGAGATTTTGTTATGCTCAGCATCGTCGCTTCTCAAAGTACCCCTCACCCACCCCCCACGAATTCATTGCAGGGCCTTCCTCACCGCGAGCCGACCGGCAGGGGACAGCGCTGTCAACGGCTCTGGCTCCATCTTCGCGCCGTACACGGCGGGTGGCGGCGGCGCCCACCCCGCCCCCGCCTTCGAGCTGAACGGCTCCGTGGCGCTGGCCCTGGGCCGCGCCAAGCTGGAGGCCGAGGACCGCGGCGCGGGTAACAACGAGGGCCAGCCCGGCTCCGCCACCTGCGGCCCTCGCTCCGAGGGCGGGTCGCGCGGCGACACGCCCACCGCGCACGGGCGGGGCCTGGCGGCGTCCGCGCTGACCGCGCCTGGCCTGCCCCAGCAGCCCGACTTCCCCTCCGGCAACCTGCAGATCGCGGGGCTGCAGGGCGCAGGCCCCCACATGGTGCTCAACCCCAACGTGCTGGCCGCCGCCTTCATGCAGTCGCAGCTGGGCGGCATCGCCTTTGCCGCGCAGCAGCAGGCGGCGGCCGCGGCCGCCGCCGCGCAGCCTGCGCACGCCGCCGCAGCGGCGGACGGCTCGGCGGGGCCGGCGGCCCAGGCCTCTGGTGGCGGCGGCGGCCTGGGCCCCTCCACCTCCTCCGAGGGCGGGCTGGCGCTGGAGCCGGGCAGCAAGCAGGCGGTGCGGCGCGAGCGGCGCATGCTGTCCAACCGCGAGTCGGCGCGGCGTTCACGCAAGCGGAAGCAGGAGCACCTGTCCACCATGGAGGCGCGGCTGGCGGAGAGCGAGCGGGGCAGGGAGGAGGCGCTGGCGCGCTGCGCGCGCCTGGCCGAGGACCTGCGCCGGCGCGACGTCGAGCTGGCGGCGCTGCGCGCCGACCTCCTGTGCCGCGGTGGGCCGGACGACGGCGCGGCGCCGGCTGCCGAGGCCGGGGCAGGAGCCTGAGCGCGCGAGGCGCAACCGCTGGCGACCATGAGTCCCCAGATGACCGCCCAAGTTTTGTCTGTCCCTGACGAGCCGTCAGAGATCAGCGCTGTACTTTCCTCAAACAGGGGAATGGGCAACCCACTTTTTCCTGCCTTTTGGTGCTCGTAGTCTTGCGCACTGTCCCCCTAGTTCCCTTCCTCCCCGGCCACCACACGAGCTGAACGTCAGAAACCCAGTGCGCTCCCTGGCACTCCCTTGATGCGCAGCAGGCGTGCACCCATGCCCCACCGCCGCCCCGTCATGAACAGTTTTGGTGAGCTTGTGCGCCCCTTTTCTCTTCAACCCCCGTGTAGTTCCCCCAGACCCCAGTACGTTCGATGGAGGGGTTGCTTCCAGAGACTGGCAGGGAGCTTACATGCACCTCGGGCGCGCCGGCCAGCGGGGTCACTCCTGGGCGGGTTCGGGGGTGTGGAAGGCTGCGAGGTAGGGGTGAGCCATGGCCTCCTTGGCGGTGAGCCGCTCAGCGTGGTCGTATCGCAGCAGCTTGTCGATGAAGTCCAGGGTGTCTGGCGTGACCAGGTGCTGGTTCTCCGGCGTCACAAACCGGGTCCAGGGCTTGCGGGAGTGCCTGGGTTTTTGGGTGTAGGAAAGGGGGCAGAGCGTGGGTGGTGGATTGATTGGCTGGGCTGTCGCCACCACCCATCACCTCGAGCCTCAGTGCGGCTCCCACCTCTCGCAGCCTCCTCAAATCTCCTTTGCCCCGGTCTCCTCCCTACCTCCCTCCCATCGCCCCCCCCCCGGGTCCAGGGCTTGCGGGAGTGCCTGGGTTTTTGGGTGTAGGAAAGGGGGCAGAGCGTGGGTGGTGGATTGATTGGCTGGGCTGTCGCCACCACCCATCACCTCGAGCCTCAGTGCGGCCCCCCCCTCTCGCAGCCTCCTCAAATCTCCTTTGCCCCGGTCTCCCCCCTCCCCCCCCCCCAACCCCCCCCCCCCCACACACACACACACACTCTTCTTAACTACCCCACTCCGCCCACCTGCCAACCATGGCCTCCAGCTGCGGATCCAGCTCCAGGCCATACTTGGCAAGGTAGCGATAGAAGTCGTCGGTGCCCAGCACCTTGCAGATCTTCACCAGCTGGTCGTAGTTGTCCTGGCCGTAGAAGAAGGGTTCCTTGCGGAAGACCATGCCAGCCAGCATGCAGCCCAGGCTCCACAGGTCCAGCGCATAGTCGTAGTCCTGCAGGTCCACCAGCAGCTCGGGCCCCTTGAAGTAGCGGGACGCCACCCGCACGTTGTACTCCTTGCCCGGGTGGTAGAACTCAGCCAGGCCCCAGTCGATGAGGCGCAGCGCGCGGCGCTCGTGGTCGATCATGATGTTGTGCGGCTTCACGTCGCGATGCATGATGCCGCGGGAGTGGGAGAAGTCCAGCGCGCGCAGGACCTCGTGGATGTAGTACCGGATGTCTGCGTCGCCCAGCGTGGGGTAAAGCACCTTGAAGTCGGTGTTGTTCACGTGCTCAAAGATGAGGGAGGGCGTCTTGGATGCCGCATCGCGCACCACGTCCAGCAGACCGATGATGTTGGTGCCGCCCCGCAGGTTCTGCAGGATCTTGATCTCGCGCTTGATCTGCAGGAGGGTTAAAGGTTGGGTGGGTGGGCAGGGGGGGGCGTGGGGGGGAACTATAAAAGTGGGAGGGGCGGGTGAAGATGGGGGTTTCAAAACGCCGCAGAGATGACTGATGACGAGGGGGGCGAGGAAGGCAGGGGACGGCGGGCCAGACTCCACACTTCACTGGCAGCCAGAGCACTGGGCTGCCACTGCCCAGACAGCATACCCAGGCACGAGTCCATCCAACAGCGCGCCGCACCTTCTTTTTCTTCACGGGCTTGAGGATCTTGATGATGCACGTCTGGTTGGTCTTCACGTTGATCCCCTCAAAAACCTCCGAGTACTTGCCGCGGCCCACCTTCCGGACCACCTCGTAGTCATCCTGGTTCCTGCGGGAGGAGGGGAAGGGTAACTTCAGGCCTTGCGCATGCTGGCTGTTCCTTTTCATGTGCAAATGGGCACATTGCTACTCTTGAGGTCCTTCTCTGCATGAGCCAATCCTCTCAGCCTCCATGCCACCCGCTCACCCCCACTCCACGGTGAGATTCTCGTAGTCCCAGTAGTCCTTGGGGTTTTTAAGGTTCGCATCTGAGGTAGAGAGACGGTACAGATGGGTGGCTGACAACCAGCCGGCCGCTGCACAGCCTTCATGCCTGGAGCCATGCAGTGCCTGCCTCCCTGGCCCCTCGGACATCGTGGGCCCTTCCCACACCGTCAAGCTGTCGAAATCTCACCGGCGTAGACTCGTGCGATGCTGCTCATGGCAGATGTCTCGCCCACGCGCAGCGCTTTCAGCCGGCAAGGCCGTCCAGCTCTACACTCAGGCCGTGTCTGGCGCTGTCGCCTCGATGAGGCGTGGGGGCGATCCTTGACCCTTCCAATGCGGTTTAAATAGGCTTGGAGCTCGCTGTCCCTTTGTTCGAGAACAGTGGCGCCTGTTGCACGCTGCTGTGGGAGGAGGTATGCACGCTGCGCGGCGGGCTGGGCACGCACAGACAGCGCCAGGGTACTTCACCCCAATCTGAATCCAGGGGAATGAAGCTGGCTGTGCGCATGCAGGGTGTGTGTTGAGCCTCCCCGCCCCCTCGTGATGGCCCGATGTCCGGGACGGGACTGCTGAGGAGGTAGGCCGGGCCATTCCTTCCAACCTTCCTTTCCACAGGTCACCGCCACCAAATCCACCATATCCACCCAAGCAATCCCACAGCCAACACCCCTTTTGAAGGTTGTTATTGACTGATAAACTGTCCTAGAGCTGAGCCTGGGAACAATTCGTCTGTGCTTGGCGGTCACCCGGGAAGCTGTAGGCTCCCTGGCTTCCTCACCGTAACTCACTGGGTGGTGAGGCTCCGGCCTGGTGAACAAACACTGTGTGGAACCGCTTATTGAACGTGCCGAAATCCTTGGGGCCACCGCGATGAAAGGCACGGGCAGGGGAACGGGTTGATGGTGGCGTCAAGGGCCTCTCCCGAAAGGAAGCCTGGCAATTCCTTCCACCCCTCCCGGTGGGGAATCAACTCCTGAAAGCTTAGACGTGTACGGTTGAGTGTGCAACCCCCTCCGTGCGCGGAAGTTGTCGCACGCTGCCGCCTTTTGGCGGAGGACCCGCCCAGCCCCTATCTGTCGGCAGGCCATGCAGGCTCTCGCCGTCGTGGCTGCCTCCGCGCAAGGGACAGGTACATGCGTGACACAACCCGGGTGTGTGCATGGTGGTGTCGTCCCGGCTGAGCCACATGCGCCCGTGACCCGTCGGCCCCGGCCCCCCCCCATCTCCCAGTTGGTGCCGTCGAGGAGGCCCCCGCCCCCCGGCCAAAGCGCCCCGCCTCCCCCACCAGCTCCGGCGACGACTCCGGCCGCCCCTCCCGCAAGCGTGTGGACCTCTTTCCCCGCATCCCCCGCGCGGCCCGGTGCGGGGAGTGCGAGAACTGCCTGAACCCCCAGCGCAAGAAGGCCTGCAGCGCGGCAAGGGCCCGCCTGGCGGCGGCGACGCAGGAGGGCGGGGGCGGCGGTGTCACCACCGCCCCCGCCCCCTCCGCCGCCCCGGCCCCACCGCCCCCGGACCAGTTCATCACCTCCCTGCAGACCATCCTGGCCGGCAGCGGCGGCGTTGTGGCGGAGCGCCACGCCACCGCCCTCACCACCCTCCTCTCCCGCGCCGCCTCGCTGGCGCACCGCTCCGCCCTCCTCACCGTGCTCCAGCTCTCCTCCGACGAAGTCCTGGCGGCAGTAGTGCGCGGCGGCGGCGTCGGGCCCCTCGAGCGCTGGCTGGCGGAGGCCGTGGCCGGGGTCAAGCCGCGCGTCGTGGCCAAGCTCCTGGCGGCGCTGGCGCGCATGCCTGTCTCCCTGACCGTGCTGCGGGCCGGCGAGCTGGGCAAGAGCGTGGGCAGGCTGCGCAAGCACCCGGGCTTCGATGCCGGCGTGCAGGCTCAGGCCAAGGCGCTGGTGGCCTCCTGGAAGATGATGGTGGATGCGGCGGGGGGCGCCGCCGCCGAGACAGCCGCACGACCCATGGACAGGTGCGAGTCGCAGCGGGGATTCTGGATTGTGTCTGCTTGGTGGGTTGGGGCGCGGGGGGGCATCCAACGTATTGGCAGCTGGAAACGTTGGATGGAGAGGGAACTGGGATGCAATCCCATGAAGCCCCTCAATGGGATCAGAGGGGCACGGCGCAATCCGGAGCGCCATGAGTGCCGCACTCGACCGAGGGCCTGGGTGTCGTTTGATGTCTGCCATGATGCCCTTGCCAAGGGAGAGGAGCAGATGGAGGGGCGGGGAGACCTGCACCGCCTTACATGAAACCTGTCAATGCCAGGGGCCGGCATGGTGTCTGCGCTGCAGCCAGGCCCCGATGTTTGGGCTGCTCCCCGAGCAGAGGACCCAACTCGCCCATGGTTGTGCCTGCCTCGCTCATGTGCTCTCTTGGCACTGCTGTTTGCCATGCTGGGCGGCTCCAGACTTCAGCCCATTTAAAGCCACTGGACCAGGAATGCCAGAGGGTGCAGACCCCATAATCCTGAAAGGCATCGACCCCAGATATGGCAGACCACCCCCACCCGCTCCCCATCCCGCCCCCCCTGCAGCCAGCCGGCCGTTCACGCCCCTGCGCCCCGACCTGCGCCGCCGGCGGCGCAGTCCAGGCCGCTGCCCAGCCTGGCACCGGCGGCCGCCCCCGTGCCGAAGGCGGAGCCCTCCAGGGAGGGCAGCCCACGTGCACCAGAGGCCACAGACCTGTTTGCCGAGGAGATGGCGCAGCGTGCAGCGCCCGTCAAGAAGGTGGGGAGCGCTGGCTGGGCCATGCAAGGGGTGCAGGGCAGGAGCCAGCCACGCATGTCCGATCCTCAATCTGGCTTGTCCGCATACCGAATTCCCCGTTCTCAAACCATGCAGGCGCCACTGCGGGTGACGACCACCGTGCACGCCGCCACACCGGACGATAGGGGTCCTTCCTCCCCGCCCTCGGCCACCGCGGCGGCGGCTGCAGGGGCCAGCGCCTCGGTGACCTCGACCTCCCGCGTCGGGTCCAGCCCCTTTGATGCTCTGGACTCCCTGGGCAGCGTCAGCAGCCACACCTCGTCCTTCCTGGGTGAGGCGCTGGGTGGTTGGCGCTCAGGACTGGAGGGAAGGGTGCTCCTGGTCTACTAAGAAGGCATGTTCCGTTCACTCTCTGGAGGAGAGAGGGCATCGAAGCTCTGTGAGAACCTGGCCACCAAGCTTGATGCATGAAACAGCACAGTCCCCACCCCTTTGCCGATACCCCGCTTGCGCTCCACACCTACAGACAGCGGGGTGGGCGACCTTCCGCGCGGGGCGTACACGCCCTACACCGCCGCGCAGCGCGCCGCGGCTGCGGCGCAGCGCGTGCCGTCCCCCGAGCCCGCGCCGCGGCGGGCCAAGGCTAAGTCGGTGCGCTGGGTGGAGGAGGACCGCGTGGCGGCGGTGCGCTGGTTCCTGGCCGCCGACCCGCCCGCCGCCGTGCAGCAGGACGCTGACCCCGACGCGGCGCGGGCCGCCCTCGTCGCTGCCGCCGCGGAAGGCACGGAGGCCGCAGCCATCGCCCCCGGCCCCGGCCCCAGCGCGGCCCTCACCTCGGCCCCCGCCGACGCCGCGCCACGCTTCGAGTCCGCCGCGCGGCTCGAGCACCTTTCGGAGGCCAGCGTCCTGCGCGCGCACCGACTGCAGGAGGACGCGGAGCTGGAGGAGATGGCGGAGCGGCTGGCGGGCATGCTACCGGTCATGGCGTGGCGGCCGCCGCCGGGCGTGGCCGCTGCGGCCGCCGCCGCGGCGGCGGGCCAGGGCATCGCAGCGGGGGAGGAGTCGGCAGAGGCCGGCGAGGCGCTCGCGCGGCGCGAGCAGAGCCGCACGGCGCGCGCGCACTACCCGCGGGGCCTGCTGGACTGCCCGGCCTGCGCGGAGGAGCCGGGGGACGGCTGGTCGCGCGGGGAGTGGGAGGCGCGGCACCCGCCCCTCCGCATCCCCCTGTCCGTGGAGGAGGCGGCCGCCGCGGCCGCCGCCACGCGGCAGGCGCCGCCCCAGCAGCAGCAGCCACCGCAGCTGGCCCCGTTTGGCGGCGCGCGGGATCCTCCCATCAGCCAGCGTGACACCTTCCAGAACAGGCCGCCGCAGCAGCAGCAGCACTACCAGGGCGGCGGCACCCCAGCGGGGCACCGCACGCCGCACGGCCAGCCGCCGCCACCGCCGGCGCCACCCCCGCCTCTCAACCTGAATTTCGGGGCGCTGGACCAGCTGCTCCGTGGGATGCGCAGCGGGCCGGCGCTGGACAGCGGGCCGCCGGCGCCGGGCGGCGCAATACGGCATGCCCCGGAGGGCCCTGCGCCCATGGGCTTCCAGGGGCAGGGGTACGGCCATGGCCCTCCCAACATGCAAGCACACCCCCCGGCCGAAAACAGCCGAGGATTTGCGCCGGCAGGGGCCTGGCCCCAGGGCCTCGTTCAGCCGACCCCGGGCCCGCCACCCCCCCGGCCGCCGAGCGAGCCGCTCAGTGGACGGCAGGCACACCGGCAGGGAGGCCACGGGCTGAAGCCGCTGCCCCACGTGCGCTGCAAGTTCTTCTTCGGTCCAAAGGTGGGTGGGTCGATTGGTGTGCAGGCCCGAAGCCTTCTGGGCGCACCAGGAGCGCGGCAGGCGCTGGGTGCCGGGGGGTTGGCAGGCATGCAAGCCCTCCCCGCCGCAGACCCACTCCAATTCCTCCTCTCCACCCTCCCCACGAGCACAGGGTTGCCGCCAGGGAGCAGACTGCCGCTTCTCGCACGTCCCATAGCCTTGAGCTATGCGGCCAACATGATGGCACGGCCAGCCAGGCCAGCTGCCTGGCCTCCCATCAGCTCGGCCCATCCTCTGGCCCGCCTGGTGCCCGCCTTCTCCATGCCCTGTCCTACGGGGCGGCCACAGGTTTTGGAGCCCCGGCCATTGCAGATTCGACCTGGTGTGTCTGCTGTATCCTGTCTGGCTTGCATGGCGGATTTCCTATGGGAGTGTACTACCCCAGCCTTTCCTCAAAGGCCGTCTTTTTCACAGATGTTGCTGGCGCCGTGTTGTCACTGTCCCACTGCTTGTATACAGGAATTGATGTCTGCACATCATGATACAATTGGGTTTGCAAGGAAGGGGTGGGGAAGCCTAGGCAACCCCATGGGCCCCCCCTGGAAGCTGCAGGGCTCCCAGTCATGAGATGCAGCCCTTTCGAGGCTCAGGAAAACAGGGCCTGCAAGGAATTACGACCACCACCTCCTGATCGACAGCAGTGCATGTAGCGGCTATGCCTGGGTCGCAGGCTGCCACACGTGCAGGGCATTGTCGTAGAAGCTGGCCGTCGCCACCGCGAATGGCCCCGCCTGGTCGCCGCCTCGCCGCTGCCAGTCGGCGCCATAGGCCAGCGTCTGTTGGTGCGCATACCGCTCCTCCACCGCCCACTCGCCGCTGCCGGGTCTGAGTCGCAGGACCTGGAAGCCATGCTGCATGCATGCCGCCAGGAGGAGCTGGGGGTCGGTGGGATGCCACCTGAGCCTCCACACACCGCCCCCCGTCGAGATCTGCTGATCCATGGGTGCAGGGAGGTGGAGGTGGATAATTCTGGGCAAGGGACCCCTTTGCCGCATTCCTGGAATGTCATCATGCTGAGCTTAGGAGCAGCTGCATCAGGGCGTCGCGTACGCTTTTAGCGCGACATCCTCCCCTCTATATGCCCATGCCACCCCCGCCAGAGTCCTCTTCACATGGCCCCTCGCCTTGCTCAGAAGCAAGGGCCGGCCCGGCCAGCGCAGGTCCCAGGCGCGGGCAGCTTCATCGTAGCTTCCGGTGGCCACCAGGTGCTCCGTGTGGGTGCTGGGCAGGATGCAGCAGACCCCCGCCCCGTGCTCTCGCCGGTCGGCCCAGGCCGGGCTGGCGGGGGCTCTTTCGTCCCAGGCACGGAGCGCGCAGTCGTCGCCGCCCGTGAAGCACAGCGCTGGCTGCCACGGATCGGCGGCCACCGCCCAGGCCTCCAGGGAGTGCGCGCTCCAGCGCTCCAACGTCGTCAGCCCGGCCGGTGTCGCCTGCGGGCGGGAGGCTCACTGGATGGGCTGCAGGGAGCATGCGACGATTGGGTGCCCGCCTTGGTGGGGTCTGATGCAGGAGAGACCACCCTTCATGACGCCCCACGCCCCGGGTATGTCAGATTGACACCTGGAGCCGTGCAGCGTCGCCGTCGGAGTAGGAGGCCAGCAGCCTCGCTGTGTCAGGGGGCTGGCTGTCACGCCGCCAGTCCACGCAGCATGCCAGCGCATCGGAGTCCGGCTGGGGTGTGCTGGACGCGATGGTGACGAGGTCCTGCCCGGTCAGGCGCAGAGTGCCGTCGCTCAGCGCCATGGCGAGGAGCGGTGTGGAGGAGGAAGAGGGGTGCCAGGCCAAGTCGAACACCCCGGCACAGCGTGCCTCCGCCTCCAGCTGCAGGACCTCGGGGCCTTCTCTACGCACGCGATACATGTATGCATGGCCTGCGCGGAGACCTGATGACTCATCCAGCTGGTAGGTGCCGACCGCGAGCAGGTCGGTGTGTCGGCTCGAGGGACACCAAGCCACCACGTCCGTGTTCTCAGTGAGAGTGGCGGTGGCGAGCGTGCAGGCGGGCATTGGAGCTGGTATCAAGCCCTGTTGCTGTGCTGAAGTAGCTGTATGGGAGGCATATGCGAGCTCTCGTCGCTGAGGTGCTAACCACGACAGCAGTTTGTGGCCTATCCGGGCATCCCTTCTCCTGGACACTTTGAACCCAACGCTGTGGGCAGACCGAGACAAGTTCTCTTGTATGTTGATGGCGCGTGCGCTTTCTACGAGAGGAGGAACCACTAGAGTTGCGGGAGCGGAATTCCGTTGTCGGGAAGGCTAGTCATGTGGCAGATTCTGCCACCAGGGTTATCGAAAATGGAAAATGGAAATTTTCGATTATGTGAATTTCCGGAAACTTTCGAGCTGAAAATCCCGCCATATCGAAAATTTTCGGGCTATATTACATCAGGTGCTTCATGCAGGGGGGAGGGGGGGCGAGGAGGTAAAACGCTTGGCCATATGAGTGTTTAAATCTGCATCAGATAGCATGCTAGCGTCCAGGAGATACTCATCGTGAAAGACCTCACTCAAGGGGCAAGTTTTGTCCAAGGCACGCAGAAAACGGGAGTTGGCACAGATGTATACCAGATCCATTGCACTTCCAATGTAAAGCCTACCCTGTAACGTGCTGTGAACGTATTGGTACCAACTCCAGTTGCATTTTGCGCACGCTGCGCTTATTTCCACACTTGCTCAGCCCGCCCACACCATTCTCACTGTGCGCTGGGTGTGCCTGGTCCTGATGGGCACCTGCCATGTCAGCACGAAATTTCGGAGTCGAATTTCGAGAATGTTATTTTCCCGAAAATCTCGCGCTTTTTTCCTCGAAACCCGCAATTTCGATAACCCTGCTCGAAGGGCCCAGTGCTGAAGAAGGCTGCGGGGCCCAGCCTGTCGATCGCATGTTCAACCTTTTCCATTGAGAAGAACTTCATGATTTGGTCCCAGTTCCTGATGTCGCCGTAGTCATGGATAAGGATATCTTGAACCCTGTGCAGAATGTTGCAGGAGTTCTTAGGCCTGCCCTGCGGCATTTCAGGCACCCCAGGACCCCGCATGTCGGCAGCACAAGGTCGTTGTCAGAGCCCGCCCTCATTGGGATCGTCACAACCGGTAGAAACTCCATACTGGATGAATAGCACATCATTGCAAGAATGTTTGCATGCGTGCGTGTGTGTGTGTGAGGGGGGGGGCGGTGGGGGGGGGGGGCTTGGGGGGGGGGGCTTTCCAGGACGAGGTGGGTCTCAACTGCCCACAACGACGATGACGAAGCTGCCGGCAGCACAAGAGACCCCACACCCCACCCCCACTCTCCTACAACCATAATTTAACACACACACACACACACCCCTCCCTCCTCCCTCCCGCTGCAGCTCCCAGAGATGATCACCCGCAAGATCGACAGCCTGTCGGCCAATACTCAGGCTCTGCTAAGAGGCCAGAACGAGATGCGCAGTGCAAATGCTGAGATCCGCGCCGCACTGGCAGACCTGAACAGGATATTTACCATACGATATGCCGACATTCCAAAACTCACTGACAGACTGGTAGGTCACCCACCACCACCACCACCACCACCACCACACACACACACCTCCTTTTACGAGCAAGCTCCTACAATATATCTCTTTACAGCCTCGCATCAATGCGGCCTCCTTGTTACAGGACTCTGCACTGAAGAGAGTTACCGACCAGAACGCCATTGTGAAGGTGACTGGTGGCTGCATGGCACGGGACATGGGTCCCGTCGGGCATTGACGCGTCTGGGATACGCGCCTCTCCTTGCAAAGGTCCCAGTCGAGGTTGAGGTGCCAGCCGAAATATCTACTACACAGCATGTCTTCACCGCTTGCACACATGCCACGGCAATTGGACTCGCAGAGAGAAAAGGTCCTAGAGTTCTTGTGGCCCTTCTGGATGAAGCATGGACCACTGCTCACTACTCAGCTCGTCCAGACAGACGCATGTGCCACACTGCTCCCTGTCAACCCCACAATTGCCCAGATGACAAAATTGCGGGAACAGGTAAGGCTGCTGCAGTGCAGATCAACTGCTGAGAATTGCGGCCACCACAAATTGACGTTCCTGCAGATCTCTCTGATAATCCGCAGGGACTTCAGGCTGAGCTTCAGGGAGACCACTGAACAGTTTGTTGTTCGGATCCTCAAGGATGCCGTCCATGTTCATCAGGAAGACGTTGGCGATATCGAGACCGTCCCAATTGTGCTAAAGAAGGACACACTCCATGTACCCCAGGGAGTCATTTCACAACTGCAGCGTGGTATGTTGACCCGTGTGCCAATGCGCAAAACCAAAGTCTAAGCTGGTGCTGTCCAACTTGGCATTCGCCAGCAAGAGCCTGCATGCATTCGACCCGGGGGTGGTATGACATCTACACTGGCAACCAGGATTCATTGTGCTGCAGTCCCCCTCTTGCCCCCCCCCCCACCCCCACCCCCACCCGCCCACCCCCCCACCCCTGGCAGGACCAGTGTGGAGGACTGGGGACCTCGTCGAAGAAGATGAGTATGGCTGCCTTCAGTTCAGAGAGTTCCTGTGTGCCAACAAGTACTTCCATCACGGCCTGAAGCGGGCAGACGACCCCGATCGAATCGCCACCATACCCCTAGCCTTTTTGGCTTGGATCGAAATGCTCGTAAGTTACAAGGGCCAGCATGCTCATCCCATGCTCAGACCACTCTTGACACGAGACCCTCAAACGCATGTAGGTTGAAGGGCACATCTTCAATCTTGGCCTTGAGGCGCGCGTCGAGCAGAGATGGAACCAGGAGATAGTGGACCGGAAAATGAGAGAGATCAGGGCCAGACCAGAGTCTATCTACCTGGTCCCATACGAACTATGCTCTCCACCAGGTAGGATGTCTTAGAACTGTTGCGCTGCCTGTGCAACCCAACACAAACACACACGCAACCCCCCCCCACCCCCTTGGGTCATGGGTGACGACCGGTCTGCACATTGCTTGAAGTGCCAACCCTGCATAACATTGCTCCCAACCTGCCGATCTTGCTGTACTTCATGTAGGACTGGAGGATTAGGGCTTGGCACATTTGATGTGGAGCGGAGCTGAAAGGATACCTAAATGCATGGTACAATAGAACCCTAAGCTCCTTGGAATGGCCATTGTTGTCCACAGATGCCTGTACCACGCATGTATTCACTAGCCGATACGATGTATGTACAAAATTGTCTATTGACGTCAATGGACGGCCTGCCAGGCAGGGGCCCCCCCTCTCCCCAGCCGCGGGCCCAGCCGTCTTCCGACGTCGATTTCCCCGAAATAGACGTCGTGCGACGGACTGATGTCTATCGACGTTCGGCTGCATGTGAATGGGTATTCGACGTCGCGCATGTCGAAGGACGTTCCAGAACGACGCGCCATATTAGTAGATGTATATCTACGAAAATGCACATACTATCTGTACACCTCACCAAACAAGGACCCGCACTGTCGTAGGGATCAAAACAGCAAGATGTGGCTCTGCATTACATATGCAAGGTTACTGATGAGCAAATTGAGTCCTCTGGGCGAAGCTGGACCGTGCGGAGCCCACCGTCCAACCGGCTAATCTTCAGCAGGAGTTGGAAAGCGGGACAACGTATAGATAACATGTCCGCTTGTGACACTCGCTGCAATTAAGTAAAACCTTGACCTGAGTGGTCGTGAGAGTCTGCAGCAGCGAGATTATGCTGTTCACTTCAGGCTTTTATTATTTTAGGGAGATGAACCCTTGCCGATGCGGGCAACTCGAGGGCTGAAGAGTCGACCACTGCCCAGGTGTCTCGAGCAGCAGGCAGCCAGAGTTTTCGGGGAGGCGGCATCGTCTCGCACGAGCATCTGCTCCGCCTGAGGTTGATCCCCTGTAAGCTGATGGCCATTCTATCTTGCAAAGGGTGTGCTGCGATGTGGTAGCCCGCAGGCAGAGGAAATGTCGCTGCCTCCAGCCGATCACATCTGGACCCCCCCCCTTGCCACAAGAGCCAACCCCCCAGGGCGCACTCCTGGAGCTCCAGACAGCCCCCAGGGATCCACTTCTGATCACACTCCTTCTGCTCAGGTGTGGTTGCCAACATGAGTGCCCCCTCCAGCATCGCTCACTGGAACGTCAGCTTGGACTGGTCGGAGGAGGAGCAGCGGGCGCTGGAGACCGGCCTGGCCCGCTTCCCGCCCACCCAGGGCAGCCCCCTGGCGCAGTACGTGCGCATCGCCCTGGCGCTTCCACGAAAGTCGGTGCGGGAGGTGGCGCTGCGTGCTCGCTGGACCAAGCAGGCGGCCCTGCTGAAGAAGCGACGCACGGAGGAGCTGGAGAGCGGGGAGAGCGCCGCGAAGCGACCCCTCCTGCACAACCCCCTCCTGGTGGGTGCATGACGCGGCTGCCGCATGCGCCGCATCAACATTTGCATTCCCGACTGCTCTTCCAGGGGGCTGGCCAGGGTTCAAGGGCCAGCTCATCGGTCCCGCCGCGACTCTCCCTTGCCGCCCTACCTCCGATCCCCGGAACCACACGCTCGCATCCCCCCTTGCCATGTCGCAGCAGGTGCCCCAACCCTCCATGCCCAACTGGCCGGGGTCGATGGGGGGCCTGGGCCCAATCATGATGCCCTCCCACCCGGGCCCTGTGCCGGCCAGCGCCGCGCCCGCCCCGCCCCCGGCGCAGGAAAGGGCGACGCCGGCGCCGGGTCCGGGCCGTGGCGGGGCGAGCCTGGGGTCGCTGCTGGAGGCCAACCTGGCCCTGCTCCAGCAGTTCAAGGGCAACATGACTCATTTTCGGGTGCATGACAACACCAGGCTGCTGGTCCAGTTCCGGGACAACATCCTGGCGGTGATCAAGCAGATGGAGAGCATGGACGGCGTGATGGCCCAGATGCCGCAGCTGCCCGTCCGGTACGCGGCTGATGTGTGTGGGGGTCCCGCTGTGGTGGTGCTGGATAGGACCAGGGCGGTTGCCTGGCTCGGTCTGCCTGTGAGGACACCGTACAGCATGTGGTGCTTGATAGAGGTGGCTCTGAGCCAGAGATCCGCTGCTGAGGGTCGCTGTGTCCGGGGCGCCTCCCAGTCCTTGGCTGGCACATAACCCTCAGTGACTCTGCCTCCCTTGGGCTTCGCACAGGTTGAATGTGGACCTGGCCAACAACTTTCTGCCCTCGCAGCCGCTGGGCCTAGTTCCCGCGCTGTCAGACCCCGCCAGCCTGACGCACCCCTCCCCCGCCAGCCTGACGCACCCCTCCCCCGCCAGCGAGGGCCCTGGCATGGTCCCGTTGGGCAACGGCTCAGCCGCCCATGCCCCGCCTGCAAGCGGCGGGGGCGTCGCGATTAAGAGGGAGGCGGAGACGGGGACCCCAAATGGGGTCGCTGGTCTGCAGGCCCGGCCGCGGGTGGAGGCGGTGAAGGCCGAGCCGACCGGCGGCGGGGCTGCACAGCCCACCGCCTTGGCAATGGCAGATGCCGGTGGGGCAGCAGACGCGTCCGGAAGGGGGCTCCCGCCCTTGCCGCCCAGGACGGCCGCCGCTGGTGAGGCCTCCATGCGGGATGCGGGAGCTGGGACGACAACAGGCGAGGCTCACGGCCCGGAGGCGAGAGGTACTGAGGGCGGTGCGGGCGCTGCCAGCCAGCCTGGCGGCCCGGCACGTGCGCCACAGGCCCCATCAGAGGGTTGCTCTGGGACGAGCGGCGGGACGCAGGAGGCGGGGCCGGGGCCGGGGCAGAGCCCCCCTCCTATCCAGCCGCCAAGTTAGGACCGACCCCTGCCCATGTGTATGCCACCAGGCATCCCACGCCCGCCTTGTCCAGATCCCTGACCCCTCATTCTTTATATCATTACGTTTCATGGCGAGGCCCTGCCATGCACAGCTGTGACTTGACGTGCTGACGAGCGAAAGGGGGAGCAGCGGTGGGTCTCGGAATGTCCGAGCACATCTTTGCCGTCAGTGTGGCTGGCTGCTCAGAAGAGTCGGACCTTGAGCACCAGGATGCTGATGATGTTCCAGGCAATGGCAGATGCCGCGATGATGAACAAGAAGTCGCTAATCTGCGAGTCGGAGGGGAGAGTTGGAGTTGGTGAGTGGCAGGGGCCGGAGCTGCACACGCGGGCATCTGCGTGGGTGTGCAGTCGTGGGACCCAACAAACCAACTTGCTGGCCCTGCCTCACCTTGGCCTTGCGATCAAACTTCTCGCGATAGAGGTAGAAGGTTCCATACAGCAGCAACGGGGAGAGCAGGAGGATGATCTGGGTGGGGTTGATGCCGGACGTCAGCTGCCCCAGGTCCGCCAGCTTGCCGCCCGTCACAGGGTCAGCCACCTCCTCGGCCAGGGAGGCTGGCAGTTGCATGAGTGGAGGGAGGGCCCGTGCCGCTGTGAGTCCCCGGCGCCCAGGGTGCTCGGCCTTGGAGAGTGTGGCAGGGTGGCCACTGGGAGGGGAGTGCCTGGGGTCACGGCTGATTACGGGATGCCAGACATGTGCCATGCACACCCATACGATGCCCTGTAGCTAACAACTGCCACAAACCTATGCTGTGTGCATCGGCAGCCGTATGAGGCACACCCACCTACGGATTGGCGAGGTGTGCAGCATGGGTGCGCATGGCAGGCATCTTCCGGCGGCGAGTGCCTGCCCACACGGCCTCACACCGGCATTCATTGCCATCGACATGTTGGAAATGCACAGCAAGTGATCGGGTGTTGTGATATCCTCAGAATGTCCGCAACATAATATTCCGGAGATGTAATCATGTAGATCTAGCTGGGGCACGCCATGCGACGAAATCTTCCATCCCGCGCGCATGAGGCAGGAGTCAACAGCCGATGCATGACATTCCTCAGCCACTCGTGGCATTTACAGAGATCAGTCATGTCAATGCGTGTGCTGAGTAGTGGCGCTCACCAGCATGCAGCCGGGTCGGGCACCAGGCCCAGAGGTGCGCGAGGTCGGGAGTAGGATGTGCTGGCATTATAATCGCGAGGTGCGAGCCTCATCCATGTTACCATCCATACGCAGGAGTATTCTTGGAAGGCCGGGCGCCCGTCCCCGCGACCCAGAGCTCCCGACACAGCCGGTTCAGGTGTTGGCCGGGCGTGTGCCAGGCTTCTGCCGCTGCCGCAGCGGAGAGCACCCTGCCCAAGTCCCCTCCAGCCACGTTTATGGTGGATGTGGCCAGGAGGACCGTGGAGGGGGCAGACACAGTCCCAGCAGAGTGAGTTGGGTCGCGGCGTCTGGCAACGGGGTCTCCTTGTAGATGGTGCCCCTCTGGAGCCCTGGCCCAGGAGCCCGACGCGGTGTCCATCCCAATCCATGCACAGACTCCAGGGCCTGAGGAGGGCCGGGGAGGCGGCGCTGAGCACGATGCGGCTGCCCACCTCCAAGCAGGAGGAGTTCCGCTTCACCGACGTGTCCCGCATCACCGGCGCCCAGCTGGCGGCCCCGCCGGGCGGCGACGCGGCCGCCGCGCTGCGGGCCGCGGCAGACCTCACCCTGACGCGCCCGGCGGCGGTCACCGCGGTGGTCCTGGACGGGGCCCTGCTCCGGCTCGTCCCCGGCCCCGAGGCCCTGCCCCCCGGTGTCTTCGTCGGCGCCTCCCACGACGCCCCCGCCGACGTCCTGGCCTTCAGCCTGGGCATGCAGAGCGGACAGCGCGGCGGCGCCTTTGCCGCCCTGAATGCGGCAAGCGCCGCCGGCGTGCTGGTGGTGCACGTGCCCGCCGGGGTCACGCTGGCCGCGCCCGTCCACGTCGTGCACCTGTCCTCGCCCGGGGGGGGCGTGGGGGACCGCGACCCCGGCGCCGTGCCCATGTCCTCCCCCCGCACCCTGGTGGTGCTGGAGGAGGGCGCGGCGGCCGGCCTGGTGGAGGAGTTTGTCCCGCTGGCGTCGCCGTCGGGCGGGGCGGCCGGCACCGCCTCGCCCGCCGGCGCCGCCGCGCCCTACTACGTCAATGCCGTGCTAGAGGTGGAGCTGGATGACCGCGCGGCGCTGAGTCACGCCTATGTGGCGACGGACGTGGCGGGTGCCAGCCACACCAAGGCCACCTTTGTACACCAGGTGTTTGGAGGATGGCTGAGGGGATGGGGGGACCGTTATCGTGAGGGGATGGGCAGGGAGGCGCCACGCTGCTCTGGTGCAGGCGACAGAGGCCTCCCGACTCCGCGTCCCTTCGCGCCCATGGCATG